AAGATAGTGCGGCCAGCTGATAACGGGGCAAGCAGACCTGACAATGGATGGTCGGCCGTTTCTATACGCTCCATGAGAGCACAGAGGATTGAGAAACGAGTGATGGAGAGGTGGGAAGATTTCGAGAGCCGCCGAATCGGTGTGGGGCCAAGAAATCAGGCAACGGTTTGTCACGATCCACCTCTTCCATAAAAGTTGCACTTTCGTCGTCAGGAGGAGGGTTTTCGGTTCGGAGTTGGGCGGTTCAATCGGCAGTCGGCTGGGGCTGAGGCCAGAGTTCACCGTGAAGCTATGACAAAGGCGGATATTTTTAGTTCAAGTCAAGTAATGGGTCAAGGGTTGAGATAAAGCTTATGTTGCCGTGGCGACTGCATAAAAGCCTAAAGGGGACACAGCACTTAAGGTGGGATTGATGCGAAGCAGGGAGGCAACTGTAGTACTGACGTTATCCAGTCTGTTGCATTGTATTTGCACATTTTGGGCTCATTGCTGTGCTAGAAACCCGTCATTACACACCTGTCTGTATATATCACATGTTTAATTTGTCTGCCGGACTTGCCGGCGGGTGAGAAGCACCATAGCCTGCATAAGCTTCGAAGACTTGCGACCTAAACATCTCATACATTCGAATTAAACGTTTGCGTTGAGGAGTGGGTTTGTGTGAGATTGTGGCATGTGTGCAGAAGTGGGAGCCGATGCATCTCCTGTCGTCGGGCTTGCCTGACGCTGCTCCCTCTGGCCCACCGCCCAGTACGTGCGTGCATGTTTTTGTGAGTTTGTATGTGTTTGCGCGTTCGTTCGTTCGTTGATTCGTTCGTACAAAAAGGATGAGGGAGAGAGGGAGAAGGGAGGAAGAGAGCAAGTGATGGTAATAGTTAAGCGGGAGACGAGGACGAGAGAAACGGAAGTGACGGAAGCGGGAAAGGAGTGATGGGGTGAAGAAAAGGATAGAGTGGAGAGATGAGAATAGGAGAGAGGAGAGAGGAGAGAGGAGAGAGGAGAAAGGAGAAAGGAGAAAGGAGAGATGGGCTAAGTTGTGGTCAACGCGGTCAAGTGAAAGGGGTTGACACTTACTCGGTTGGATTAGCCTCCAATCACTAGAAGCTGTTAATTTTTTCTATTTTCCACTACTTTTCCTGTGCAGGTTGAGCAGCTCTGCCAAGTGGCAGAACGAGAGAGGCAGACGATGAGGGCAAGATGGAGAGGTAAGCCTGTCTGGTGTTGGCAGGGCAACCGCGGGGACGTGGTTGACGAGCGGACGAGAGTCACTTGAGTGAATTGGCGCTGCCCGAACTGCTGCTGCAGACTGAAAAGCCTCGGTACTCGGGCACCATGTGGTGGGCGGTGAACATGTAGACGGAGCCTCTTGGCGAGATTTCACAACCGCGCACCGGATGCGTAGTGATGTACTTGAGGTCCACGGCCCACATGTCGTCCTCCTTCGTGTTTTTCGTCAGCTCTTCGTGCAGCCGTTCTGGGTCTATGATGAAGGGACGCATGAAATTGGAACTCTTCGACCGGTACAGCATAGACTCGGTCCTGGGGGGGTCGCGAGTTCCGTTGCGTGTCTCCGAGCTCGGATGGTTCGAGTAGCTGCGGTGCTTCCGGAGACCGGTCGCGAACTCGGCCCGCTTCGCCGGGCTTCCCGAGTCCTGGCTCGGCTTGGCGGCTGTCACCGACTGCACAGTCGCCTGCAGCACTGGAGACTCGTGGCCGGGCGGGATGGGCGACGGCGAGCGACGTCTGTAGGCCGGCTGTGCCTGCCTCACTTGTGCCGTCACCTTGACCTCTTCCTCTTCCTTCTCCTCTTCTTCTTCTTCTTCTTCTTCTGCTTCATCTTCATCTTCATCATCTTCTTCTTCTTGCTCCGGCACGTCTGCATTGGCCTGTTTCCGTCGTCTGTTCGTCTTCGAGTGCGCGGTTGTGTGGCTCGGCGTCTCCGACGTGTCGGTCGACCCAGCCGCGGCGTCGTGGGGCCGATCGAGCTCTTGGAACTGGGCGGCCATCAGAGCGGCCGTCGTCTCCGACCGGCTCTCCTGCATCTCGGGCCGCCCGTTCGTCTGCATCCCGTCCAGACGGGCCGTCGAATGACCCAGCTCGTGGCCGGGCTCGTGGCCGACCAGACTGGACTGCGACGAGTAGGTCATGGCGTTCGGGTAGTCCTCGAGAGTGAGCAGAAAGTGCGGATGCGCCTGCGCCTTCAACAGCAGATCGCAGAACTCATTGGCCAGTGTCGAGTTCTTGAACTTCACCAGAGTGTAGAAGAGACCCACACCACTGGGCAGACTTCGTGAATCGCGGGCACCATGACGACTGGTGGGCTGGTTGTTGCCGAGTGTCGTGGTTTCAGCAACGCCCATAACCACGGTGTAGGGCTGCATGTTGAAGACGAAGAAGCGCTTGATGTCTGTGTAGGCGTAGTACGAGCGTGGCGGCGACATGCCGAAGGGACTGGACCTCTTCATGTAGAGATGGTCGGTCATGCAGCGCAGTTTGCAGTGACTCGTCGCCTTGTGGTTGATGTGCGAGCTCAACACCTGCTGGGCGCTGTCAAAGTTGAACGTCTCGCCGTCCTGCAGCCGAGTTCGGCCCATTATGTCGCAGGAGGCCTCGAAAAACTTGTGCTGTTTCGCCTGCAGCTGGGTCCTTTTCACCTTTGTCGACGTCGGCATGATGGCGGCCGCCCAACTGCCGGGGTCTGCTGTGGACGTGAGAGGCGGCAAGCTGTGGGCAGCTTCGCCTCTGAGCTAGTGCAAGGCAAACACGCCGCTAGCCACTCGCCTCCGTCACACCGACTGCGCCTACTCGGCCGCCTGTCTTGGCGGCGCGCACCTGGCCGTCTGGTGGTCTGTACGCACGCGAGCCGTCCGCCTGTCTGCCTGTCTGCCGGCAGGCCTGTGAGCTCGCCCGTCGGCCTGCCTGCCTGTCTGTCTGCCTGCGTGGCTGCGTGCACGCGAGGCGGCGGAACTGGCTGGCTCGTGCTGACGTCAACTAAGCTTGTCGAGCCCAGCACGCCTCAGCCTACTCGGGCGGTGCACCAGCATAGCAGACTACTTCAAGCCAGAAGGGAGCCAATCAGATCAAAGGCATCGCCAGACTCGCCACCACGCGCCACCAACGCAAGCCGTCGCTCTCCTCAAATGACTCATTGGCCTGCTTAACCTTAGCACACATCTTGACCTCTCGATGTGTGAGCACCCGGCTTTCGGCCTTTGTCTACGTAACTGTTAGCTGTTAGCCGCAAGTCTGATTACAAGCGGAGCAATACAGGTGTCTTTGTGTGCATGTGTGTGTGTGTGTGTGTGT